AGTTCATAAATGTAAACTATTAAATAAATAGTTTCGCGCGTATGGAATCCGATTGTTTGTTCAAAGAGGGCTTCATCTTCTTTATGAAAAGCATTTCATGAACTAAACAGTCCAGTTTCCCGGTGCACTTTTTAAGTACGTTGAAATGCTTGGTCAGGTCGCCGATGGTTTGTAGGCCGTGGTCGTTCTTTAGATGTTTGCCGATGGCCGAATTACGGTGCTCATTAATACGTTGATGTAAATGCCGGCTGGTGTACCCGACGTACTCTGCATCACACAGATCACATTTATAATTATATACAACGCATTGTTGGCTAACTATAGGAGGTTTAGGCTCACGCATTCTGAGATCTTCACAGATTTTGCGACTCTTGAGCACGGTTTGAAGGGTGTGATCGATTTTGTTGCTTAGATCTGATAATTGCCTTTTCACTGCGTCAGCTGACTTTTGATCTTTAAAAGGCAAAACCACTCGGTGAACAGCATTTTCGTTGAATTAAGCAGTAAATCACATTCTATAACGGTCTACCGGCATGATAAACCACGCATGATGTTATAAAATCAGGAGAAGAGTTGATTGTTGATTGTTTTATGACAGCATGGGTAAAGTCCGTCAGAAAGAAAGATAAAGCTATCCTTATTTTATGATCAAGCCCCTGATTCTCATGAAACTATGAAAAGTACAAGAAACCATGCAGTCAAAGCGCTGGAAACTGAACGAACTACCGGCCAGAAGAGCAGCGACTAAAATTAATTTCCCAATGAATGAACCCAATGGCAGCAAGAACCCGAGCAGAAATTATCAAAAAAAACTGAAACATGAAGGCACAGACTACAAAGTGCCACTGAGTAACAATTCAATCTGAACGGAGAAAACGCGAACTTTATGGCCATAATTGGTCCACCACTGCGATTGTGATCTGATAATCTGTACGGAATGTTTCTGAAGTTTGCAACCCAAGCAAGGAGACGGAGCTTTTTAGCGAAATAAAAGTCAGTTTTGCTCCGTTTTCCTAGTTCTCCAAAATAAATTTGATGGGAGAAAAGACAAAATGTTATACATAGAATAAATTATCATGCCTTTACTCAAGCTAAGAAAAGTTGTTCATTTAGCTTGTGATCCCAAGGAAGACAAAAGAAAGAATCATCGCAGCGGCTACATAAGCGTTTCAAAGCAAATATAAACTGAAGGCTAGCAAGCTAACAACCGAAACCCACAGCATTTGTCATATAATCTTGCTGCTGCATTAAAACAAAACTTGGCACGTAATGTAAATTATCGAGACTGGTCGTTTATTGACCCAGGTCATTAATTGCTTGCAGCAAATTTCCCCTACAACGCTATACTTAATTATGCAAATATTCTTTAATTGGGAAAATAAAAACACAGGATCTGCTCCCAAAGTTTCTTCACGACAAAGCTCAGTTCGGAGTGACACCCAACTTGTATTTGGGAGGCATAGGCCCTAGCTAGGATTCTGGGAATTCTGGATTTTTTAGACTTTATTTTTGCATTTTCTTTAGTTGCAGCTCACTTGCGCGGATCATTCCAAGATAAAAGCAAACGAAGATAATGATGATACACTACCTTTAAGTCTAAAGCTTTGTCTAAGAAAGGTTCATCTTGCTGATAGTCTGGCGAAGTGCTTATATTGTTTGTATGATCAGACGAGATGGCCAGGTGTAAGATTCTCGTGCCACTAAAGAAACTATACAACGTCTCTTTCGCTCACCGTAAGTATCCCTCAGCTGCAGTNCAATCAAAACTTTCAGACCTTTTTGTTTCTTTGCTATAATGCTAGTGTTTGTAAAACCAGACCAGATACCGGTGGATGGCGAATGGCAGATGAAAATAATGCAAACCAAAAAATACTAACAAAAAATATTCTGATCAATCAATTGATAAAGAAAAAACTAAAATTTCCATTTAAATTTGAACTAAAGCTGCCAATAACTAATAATTTCGCGAAATAACGCCTTTTGGACTTCAACCCACACTGGTTTTAATATTAGAGAGTTAATACGTTGAATTCCTATTTCCTTGTGGCCAGTTCAAAGATTTCAAAACAGTTTCTTGTTTTGTTTCTGGGATCCTTTCGTATCGTTGTCATGCAAATTCAAGATAAGATCTCTAAACAGCGTAACTGTCTAAGTGCTTCGCGAAAGTCCCACCGCATTACAATGGGACGGAACTGTTCCCTAAACTCCGAATGTGGAGGAAAACACTAAGTAAGCAAATCTAAACAGAAACTAGGCAGGAAGTTGAAATATGAAAATTTTAAAAGTGTCAAAGCAAAGGTGTTATTGATCGATAAAGAATGATATTCAAAACGTTTTTGACCAGCGTGTGAAAGAGCAAAAAAAAAAACTTTACTTAGACAGGGATTAAAATCAACGACTTTTATATTCTGCAGTTCGAAACTCCCTCTAGGCTTAAGATTAAAGTCGTTTGCAGTCTGGTTTGTGTAATGGATACGCGTATGTGAATAGCTTCATGCATACTGCTAGTACAAGGACAGGCGAACCACCTTATGGTGGCTAAGAATGAAGCTCCGCAAAATAATTTTTTTTGCTGCATCCTAGTCAGAAAATCTGGTTACTCTAGACCAATGGCATAGGTCTAGGGTCGAAAGGGAATTAGTAAAAAGGTGATGAAGAAGCAAAAACCCCTGCAATTGTGCTTTATTGACCTTTCATTTCGCCTAATTGATCATGAGTACATTTCAGAAGTGCGGAGACCAAGGTCCATTTCAAGGCCAGTCTAGAGTCCAGTTTAGAGTACTAGATATGTTAACGTTCTCACGTGATATTGCTATATATCTAATGACGTTTAACTCCTACAAGAACCTGCGCTGTGGATCTTGGAGGTAACATTTTAAAAACTGGCTGCAAACGGAGGGTAGGAAGTGGCCCTCAATCAAGGAAGGTTTCCCCGGCTTTTTAGAACAGAGAGATAAAAATTAACAAAAACAAACATACATATAAAGGAGACCTCGTCAAAGATGAGCGAGTAAGCAGACGAAACAAGAACGGCGGGATTTTAAGGAAGAAAATACAAAATATTTTTTTTAAAGATTGACTGAACATTTTAATGTTCAGTCAAAAAAGCTTGGCTTGATATTTTGCGGTTTATGGTGGTCATTTGAGCTAACCAGTTCCGAGTAAGGAAGCAAACATGATCGTATTTTAATTAAGCACTCTTACGATGCGATACGGGAAAAATAAATTTTTGTAGTTACGTACTTATCTCGTGCCCACAGAGCTTCCGCTGATCCAACATGGAAAAAGTGTGACTGGCAAAAAACGATGCTTGGGAAAAAGAGAAATACATGCATCCCAAACTGATGTGAGGCGATGCTTTTTGTGAGAAAAACCTCCATATAACTTCCGTATACTCTCATATTGCCAGCTCTAGCTTACTAAAAAATATCCTACAGAACGAGTGTCTTTTTTATGTGTCAATTTACGGAAGGAATCCTACCAATACAGACATATTTTGTGATATTTTCTTTCCGAAAGTAATGTATTGAGTTAGCGGAAAGACGGCATCAAATTTACACGAGTGACACTCTTTCCAAAACCTTTTCTCGCGTCTTTTTTTTTTTTTTATGTCGCCGAAGGATTCTTGACAAAGCATGCGATGAAGCCAGAAGAGAAGAGGAAAGAGAGGGAGTTAACGTAAAAAATGTAGATTACATTCTGTAGCCCAACTCTATCATCCCAATGAATTTTTTGGATTAGTAGTTGATATCGGCCAGCTGGTCGGGAATCGGTTTAGGTAAATAGGATTTTGTTTGTTCTACAATGTCCTCGTACCTGAAACACGATATCTAATTCGCAATACAGGAGCGGATCCAGGAAGTTTTGATTGTGGGGGATCCAAACTTTGGTTCAGAAAGGACTGTTGGACCGAGGCAAATTACTTCTCCCCTACACCCCCTCCCACCAGTCGCGGTTGCACGTTATATTCCCTGGCCGCTTACCGGTTTACTTGGATTCATTAAAAAAAAATCAACCAGTTAAAAAGTGATATACGATGCTGTCGATGTAAGAATTTCAGTCTCAAATTTGTAAGCGTAAGGTCTGATAGGGGAGGGGGGATCCAGACTCCCCGGACCCTCCCCCTGGATCCGCCACTGCAATAGCAGAAGAAAGTTTCCCCTTATCATTTGCCTATAGGGAAACTGAAGGATCTGATTGTTTCCAATTCTCTCCTTTTGTTATTCTGCTTTACAACTTCCAAAGTACAGATTCTGTCGAGAACTTCGACTGAAACACGCAAGTGTGTTCATTTAGTTCACATCCTTTCAGATCATCCTTTCAGTATTAATGCAGGCCACTCCTCTCTAGAAAAGCTTACTAAACACTAAGCGTGTAACAGCGTGTAGTCTAGCTCAGTTAAAAGCTAAATTTTGCGTACTCGCAGAACGGAAACATCGACGACAGTAATCTATATTTTGAACCCAAGGCGGCATTCACTTNAGTCGTACTTAACTGACCACGTATATAGGTATATTAAACGATTTTAAAGAATGCCAAGCTGCTACAATTAGCTGTGACGTTGCAATCTAATGCCGTTTCTCGATGAGGGTACGGACAACACTTCTCGTGCCTACGTGTCAGGTAATGGTCACGCACTGAGAATAGACTTACTTGACGTCGATATTGTGGTAATACAAAAAAAAACGGCGGTTAAGTGTGGTCTACACTTTCATCAACAACGATATTCGTCATCACAATGGTCAAAATGTTAAAAAGCTAATTCATTGTCGACTCGTTAAATTCTTAAGTCTTGTAGCATCCTTGCCCTGGACTAATCTACCTTGGTCTGGTCCAAGATAGGGAAAGACATTTGGGAGTTGATTTTTCGTAAACATAAACCACACCCATGAAATAATTAGATTTTCCTAGAATAAGACCTTAAACAAAGTTATTCGCTTCAACTTATCTCCGCTGTCTTCCGTTAAAGGAAAGCAAATTGTCTCTTTCTTCACACTCACCCCCTCTATTTCTTCCATGGACAAAACAGCACCTACTGTCATCCTGCCCGGTTAAAACAAGACGGTAGAAAATAGTGCCAATTAATAAGAGGAAGATGCAAGAATTGACAATCACAACGATCCAAACGTAAGCTGTTATATAACTCATAGAGCTTTCCAAGGCCGAGAACCTCAACAGCATAAAAGACATGGACAGCGCCAACAAAACTAGAGGCTCAAAAAAGTTTTCGGAGGCAAACCTGTGGTGTGGAATATCGCTATAAGGATGCAAACACAGATGGGCAATTGCGAAGCCAACTAGAATTACCCAGACAACGAAAGTTTGTAAAGAAGAGGAAGAAGAAATCATGGACAAGGCAACGGCAAGCAATACGCGACGGAGAAGCATGACGAGCTCAAAGTACCTCTGATACCTTGGTTTGTAAGGTAAATATGCAGGACCAAGCCACGTGTCAAGTTTTTTACGATCCTCAGGGCTCATACTGACTCTTTTCCGAAAGAAGAAAAACAAGAGTGAGGCCAGAAGCAAAGGAAACCCAATCACGTAGATCGCCACAGAGACGAAACTAAGAGCTGATAGAGTTCTGTAGGTATCAGATGCACATTCAATCCAAGGAGAAATTGGCATGTACAGAATATCACCGTCGTTTTGGCAGGGGCGTAAAATGGAGAGAGTTTGCTTTACAATAGGAAAGTAGCTGAAACTTAAACAGAAAAAGGCACTTTGACGGCATTTAAAGTGAACGTTTTCCATGCGTCGTTCTGTCGGACGCATCTTATTGTAGACCAACATGATGATAAAGTAAACACCCACAGTTGCCATGCAGCCAATTGGAAGAAGAAGAATAAAAGCAAACTTGCCAATAGGATTGAAAAGAGAGGGGAAATCGCACGAAAGTGAAGGAAAATACAAATTCCAGTAACTGCTCAAGTAGTTCTGAGCTGCGACGATTATTCGAGGCCACATACTGGAGCTCGATACCATGAAATCCATGGTTTGTATATAGAAAACTGCAATGCTGATGAGAGACTTTGTACCTTTCCCTCGACTAGTCAAACACAACACAAAGACCACCAGGTTCAATTTGAAAACCCAAATAGGTAAGAATTCCAAAAGCATAAAGATCAACAGTAAGAGGAAATGTATTGCTGTTACTACAAACCATTTGATAGGTCGCAAGTTGAAATAAAAAAATGACCAAAGCAGAACTAGGAAAGAGATGGCAAAGATAGGAATAAACACGTAGTAGTAGGTTAGATCTCCCTTCACGCATTGGTAGCACATTCCGGCAATTTTATAAAATCCTTCTTCACAACGAGAACAGAACCTGTCAGTGTTACCCGAATGGCAGATACAGGATTCATTACATTTTGTGATCAGAGATGACACTAAACCCTTGTTATTGGAGGAGTACGAGTCGTCGCTTGGTGATGTGTTGAGGCGACAGGTGCAGGAAGCTAGTGGATTGCAAGCAGTAGGTACTGGACACTTGACGAGATGGGTAACATTCCTAGGACCAGGAGATGGCCAATAGCCAGGACCTATCTTCATGATGTTTGGACTAAGGTCTTTTTGGTCTGTAACAGTAACTTGGTTACACGTTCCACCATCCATACATGATTTACATAATCCGCTCTCTCCGTAAAAATGTGTATCACAAATGCAATATCTGTACTCGTAAAATGTAGGATCCAAGCGAATGCGACCGTTATTGAACGTTAAGTGTCCTTCGGGACATGTAAAGTAGTCTTCTGAGTGTGGTCTGAACATTCTTGAAAAATCGGGGCGAAAGACGTCAATGGATGCATTCTTTTTCTCTTGCATAGAAGGATTTCCAGAAATATCCAAATACTGGAGACTGATTAAATTCTGAATTCCTGCCGGAAGGCTTCCCGACAAGTTATTTGATGAGACGTCAAAATAAGTTAGATATGAAAAGTCTGCAAAAAAAGCAGGCATGGCTCCGTAAAACCTGTTACCTCGTAAATCGCAAGTGGACATGTCCTCAAAGTAAAGCACATTTGCAGGTAGGGGACTCTCAATATCGCAAAAACTGAGATTTAGAACTGATGGGCTTGGGTGAAAGTCGGGCTTGGCCGAGAGGAGCTCCATAAAGCTTGAAATATTAATTTCTAAATTCCTATTTCCTGCAAGGGAAAGGAAGGATTTTACAGTTCTATTTGATTTGGTAGACCATGGCCTCCCTCTATTTATGGAGGAAAACTTGTTCTGCGACAAATCAATCATGGAGGGTGGGTAAATGAGTAACTCGCCAGGAATGTCTCCTGTGAGCTGATTGTTAGCGACATTAAGAATTTGCACGTGATGAGTTTTCGGAATGTTTTGAAAGAAGCCACCCAAAATGTTGTTTCCCGGTAAAACTAGACAGTTCACGTTAGGTGGCAGTGTATTTGGTAATTGTCCTGTTAGTCGAACGCCCGAAACAAAAAGTTGGGTTAAGGTAGGGATCGCAAAAAGGTCATTCAGATCTCCCCACATGAGACCAGGAGTGTTTCGGAGGTCAAGATAACAAAGTCTTGGTAATTTGGTTATGCTTCTAGGTATTCGACCAGTAAATCTATTTCCTCCGAGACACAGCATTCTTAACCCTGTCATATTCCCAATGTTTTCTGGTAAGTTGCCAGTAAAGCCCTCCCCGTTCATTACACAGCCCAAGAAACTGTTCAAATTTGTTAGTTGTGCGATATCCCTCGGAATTTCCCCAGATATGGAGGCTGCATTGAGAACGATCGACAGCAGACTGCTCATATTTCCAAATAAAAAGTCACCAATGCGTCCTCGGAGTCTTGAGTTACCAGGAGTGCAAAGCGACAACAAGTTGCGTATCTTCCACAGATTGGAAGGAAGAACACCATCCAAGTTGTTGTAAGCCAGCGTAATGGTTTTTACATATCAATTGTTGTAACATGTGATACCATACCAGGAACAGTGGGATTTTGAGCTGTTCCACCCTGTGTTGTCGTACCATTGCTCGCCATTTGTAGATGCGTAAACGTCAAGGAGAAATTCTCTTTCTTGTTCAAGTGTAAACGAGAAATCATATGTTAATTCAGGGAATGTCCAATGGCTGCCTGTAAATCTTTTCAAACAGTCATGACCCTCATCGCCCAGGAACAACTCATAATCTGGAATTGAAGACAGTGAAGATTAAAAAATAGGATGATAGCTAAAAGGGTATTTTTTTTTTATAATTACACTACCCTGGGAAGTTTTGTGCGAGAATACCTCGGCGGATACCTACCTTTCCTGTTGTAAATGCAATTTGTCCAAAATTTTACCCGACATATATTTTCTCTATCAACGATGGGTGTTCGGAAGCGGAACCAGAAATCCCTTTAAAAAGCAGGCACATTTATTCATAACACGGTAACACAGTAACACGGTAACACGGTAAACGCATGGTAAACACCAACAACCTCGCAAACTGCGTCTTAAAAACAACTCAAAACTAAACATATAGAAGAAAATCGTTCGCATAACTTGCTTACTTGGTTTTTATGAAGTTTTAAAGCGCGCGCGTGAGCGCTTATCGCGAGTCACGCAAGTTTGGTAACTGTATTCTCAACAAAGGGACCCCTTTTATGAACGTTTACTTAAGCAACAGAAGTGGATAAGGGGGTCACTATATCTGCTAACTAATCATGGAGCGTTATTTTGTACCACGACACCTAAGTGGACCAATCCGCGTTTAGTACTCGTGACAAAACTTGAAATGTAACGTACAATCTACGGATGTTACATGTGTCGCCCAGTCACGCATTAGACTTAGAAAGTGACAAACGCTACTTTCTTTCTCTCAGGATGTCATGCGCCGCGGTTTTTTGTTGTGTTTCTTCTGCGCTCTGTTAAATAAATTAGATTTAAGTAATGCATGTAGGACGATTTTTCCGGAGGGCACCGTAATTCGTTGACAGTAACCTTTAAAGGAGGTAAGAAAGGTAATGGAACTCTTTTGCTCTAGTCTAAGAAACTTTTGTGGGCTTATCCCTAAAAGGTTTTACTAATTAAAAAATTTGTCGCCGGGAGCCGTTTCTACCCCAAAATGGGAAAGTTTACTAAAGATCTACTATATCATGTAAAATGCTGTTTACATTTCAGTAATGACTTTTTCGCACTAACGAAAAAGTTTTTTATAGAGAAAAATTTTCCGTCAGCACAAACATTTTACAAGTGCTGACGGTTTGCCGTGACTTCACCAATTTTGGCCAAAGTGGACGACTGTTCAAACGCACCGCTGAAAAAAATTTGTCCCAGATAGATACTGGACAAGATCGACAGATGAACAGATAGGGCGCTGAAGGAATATGACAGCTTTGAAATTTTAATACGGATGTAAACAGACGAAACAAAACATTTGTCATAACATCGTAAACTCGAAAGGTTACTAGTTAAGCGGAGAAGACAATTGGAACGCACAATAGAAATCACGGTTTAAATAAATGCAGTAGGTATTCAAAATTATAAATAAAAATAAAGAGATCAGTTTGTAATCACGGATGAAAAGGACGAAGTAGAGATTGAAGATTGCGAAGTTATAATTGACGTTTGTAGCTGAATTTGTTTGGCTAAATTTCTGGTTGAAAGCGAGAAATAAACCAGTGATACAGACCCAAAAGGGGGAATGTCTGAGATTCACAGCATGAAATCGCAAATTTACGCATCTTTAACTCTTGCGTAAAGATGCGTAAATATAAAGCCTCTTCTTTACGGACAGTTCCGCGTTCCGTAAAGATGCGTAAATGCAGAGAAAGCGTAAAGACTGCGTAAAGGATATTAAATGTTCGTAAAGGATAAGGATCAAAATGGACATAATTAATCACTGTCTATTTGGAGAAATACTCAAAGAAGTGAAATAATTATGGCTCATCCATCTTCGGTAGAATTACCGTGGTATTTTGACCAGTTTCGCTTTTAACACTTTACTCGTCTGTAATACTCTTTTCACATCTTTACTCACTGTTCTTTAAGAATCTTTAACATTCCTTACGGACAATCAATCTTTACGTGCCGTTAATTCTCTTTCCGCATCTGTATTCTGTCTTTTACACCGGTTCTAATCTTTCTGATCGCATAATATGTTTAAACTACCTTTTTTGAATTGGCCTTGAAACTCATGATCACGCAGTTGTCCTCGGGACGATTGATGAAGAGTCCCTGGGGACGAAAATACATAGGAACGAGGCTGCCGCAGACCGTGGGTGTACTGCGTCGGTGGGAAAATATGACATGTAAATTGGCTACCGTAAAGAGTAAAAAAGGCTGACGTTTTGAGCGTTAGGCCTTCGTCAATCGCTCTGACGAAGGGCTAACGTTCGAAATGTCAGCCTTTTAACTCTGTACGTTGACTAACTTACTTTTTCAACACAGTTATTAAGACTAAATTACGTCTTTCATTCGGACGATTCTTCCTACAAGTTCGGTACTAAAATACAATGAAAACGTTCCCTGGCCAAAGGTTTTAGAAAGCATAAGCTTTCGGCTGTCGATCTACAGCCTTCCACGGATAAAACATGAAATGTGAATTAGTAAACTATTTACAAAAAGCGAGATGAAGGTGATAAGAAGAACAAAGTAAATNTTTTGTGACTACAGATCTCATGCAATCCCCTTTTTTGTTTCTTCTCGTTTTCTTCCTTTGGTTATGCTTTGCTTTAAATCGATTGCCATCTTGATGCATGACATATCCAATAATTTGTCACCTTCTAACATATCTAACTTATTCACTTATCAAGCTAATATTCATCCCATAAGACAAGATCATCTTCAAGAGGCGACTATTTTGTTGAAAGTTCAAGATTAGATATACAAAAAAGGGCATTTTCAAGAAATGGTGTTAGGATCTGGAATGGCTTGTCTTGTGAAGTGCACCGGCTATCAAAATACAATTTTAAAAGTAAAATTAATGATTTCCTCCTCCGGAGACTCGAAAAATATGACGATTATATTGATTTGTCTACTTTAATAGCAAAACTATAAGACCCCAGCTTATTCTGTTCTCTTGCCATATCTTAAATGTATTAATGTAGTTGCATGTAATTTGTCTAGAATTTTAAGTCTCTTGCTCTGTAAATCTTTTATTATTTTATAATATACATATTAAACACTGCACGCCTCGACTAGCCTTTGCTAACTGCGGGTGGTGCATATTTTTTATAATGTTGTAATAATAATAATAATAATAATAATAGTAATAATAATAATAATAATAATAAACTTGTAATAATAAACTTGTTCTCGCAATGATAACACGATCACTATTGATGTTTACCGTAAAGCAACTCATACTGACAGATATTTAGACTCTTTTTCTCACCGCGACAAACGCCACAAGATTAGTACAGCTGAGACCCTTCTACACCACGCAATTAAACTCCCAAGTACACCCCAAGTGAAAATTACGGAAATCATTCATGTCATTGATGCTCTACGAGCTAACAATTATCCCTCCTTTGTTATTTCCAATACCCTAAAGCGGAAATTTTCCAAACCACCCACACATGTCATCCCTTCACTTGAAGAATTGGTTTGCATGTTATTTAAATGGTTGAACCTCAAGAGAACTCTAACGATTTTGCTGTCCCTCCTTTAATCAATGGTGTTACGCAACCGTTAACAAGGATTCTTCGAAAGCACGATATTCGAGTTGTAAATAAGCCCTTTAAGACTTTGCAACAAGAATTCCGTTCTCCCAAATTCAGACCACCTATTGAACACCAACCCAATGGGGTTTATAAAATACCCTGTGCCGATTGTGACTGGTGTTATGTAGGTGAAACTGGCCGTTGCTTTCAAACCCACAAGAAAGAACACATTAGAATTGCAAAGGCCTGTGCTAATGGGTCAAACACTGCAAAACATGCGTGGTCATTTGATCATCGCATTGGTTTCAGTCATTCTCGAGTTATCGACTAAGGCTCTTTTCGTATTAGAAAACCTCTGGAGGCTTGGCACACCTCTGCTATCAAGAATGCGGACAATAACTCTAAGCCGATCCCTAATCAGTATAGCATTCTTTTTAAACAATAGCCACTCTTTCCATATTTTTACTTTGTTCTTCTTATTACCTTTATCTCGCTTTCTGTATATATTTTGCTAGTTTACATTTCATGTTTTATCCGTGGAAGGCTGTAGATCGACAGCCGAAAGCTTATGTTTTCTAAAACTTTTGGCCAGAGAACGTTTTTTACTATAGTTTAATGTCTCATCCTGGCTGTGCCTCAATTTTCAAATTTATGTTATATCCAACACTTTTTATTATAACGTATATCTTAAAAAGCGTNATCAACCACCAATTGAAAGGAAATCAAACTCACACTAAAAGATTGGACAACTGAACTCAAGGAAATATTTGATTACTGAAATTTTTGTAAAACTGGTGTTGAAAATCAATAACAAGTTTTTGGAGTTTTGAATTACTTTGGTATAACTGTTTCGGTTGCTGAACTCAGTAGAACAATCTTATTTGAGCTGCCAAAAACTAAACCCTGACTGATAGTGGTAAACAAAACCGTGAAACGTTGGTACCATACAATACAATACAATACAATATTTTATTGACAACTCCCCAAAGGGGCTTTTCAGTGACAATGACGATTAGACAATAGCAGTAACAATAAAAAAAAATGGTAATTGTTAAAAAGAGTAATGCTATATACATTATAAAATATCAATCACGAAAAATAATTTATAGAGTGTTAGAACTATAGTATAACTTAACTATAAGAACAAAAACTCGGGCTAAATCTAGTCAAGAATTTTTTTAAAAGGTCTGATTTAAGATTACGTTTAAAACTAGCTACACTAAGGCTTGATTTAAGTTTATGGCTAATAGTATTCCAAATACTTACAACGCGATTATAAAAGGACCTCTGCCCAGTTGCTGTTTTACAGAGTGGAATGTTCAAGTTCCGTGAATTGCGGGTCACTCGACCAGTAATGCTACCCTAAGAATAAACTTATTACTTAGGTATTCCGGTACAAGACCCATCATGCACTTAAAAGCCATGACGCTGTCTCTTGGGTAAAGGTTTGATTTAACGGGAATCCAATTTAAGCTTTTAAGAGAAGGAGACACATGGTCGTATTTCCTAACGTTGCATACGATTCGAGCAGCAAAGTTTTGTTCGCCTTGCAGCTTCTTTATATTACTATCCATGGTATTCGCCCAAACTGACGAACAATAATATAATTAACTAAATACTAAGGAATTGATATAATAATCAGCATATCTCTCCTAAATGCGTGCTTTACGCGACCTTTTTGTCCCAATGTGGACATACAAGAGGATACAGTTTTAAAATGACATGTTCGTTGAAGGTGAGATTTTTGTCAAAAATCACTCTGAGATCTTTTATAGTCTCTGTGGGTTTGAGATCTTTTCCCAAGAGTTTATGGCGAAATTCCGGGAGTTTGCAGTCGCCTGTCTACTTCCATATATAATTAAATTGGTTTTGTCAGGGTTTAAGAGCAGACCATTATCAAAGCACCAGTTTCGTATGCTGACAAGGTCCTCGTTCATAGCAGATATGGTGTCTCCGCAGTCCTGGGGTCGGAATGACATAAATAACTTGGTGTCATCCACATAACTCTTAGTTAGACAGTTTCTTGGAGTAGATGGTAAATCATTGACATAGATTCCAAAAAGCATTGGCCTTAGAATGCTA